TCGGGCTGGTTTTCACACATAAATTAAATGCCTAAAACTTTCAGAAGTGAAAACAAATTGCACATTTTGTATTAGCACAGTGGTATCGCAATACTTAAAAAGTATTGACTCCAAAATATCAACCGACGGGTATCGAAGTATCGATATGCCCATCCCTACTTCACCTTGGCCTACAGCAGGGGCATATCCAGGGGCAGAACCAGTGGGGCCCTGGCCCCAGCTGAAACCTGATTGGCCTTTGAAGTGCCCTTGTCCTGTCACTAGTCTTGACTTAAGGGAAATGCTTTGCGCATACCGTTGTGTGCACATCTCCAAACATGGCACCCACCAAGACGAACGTGTTTGTGCGTCCCACTCTTGAATGCCGTCTTTTTTTTTGTTTTCTTCTTTTGTGTGTGTTTTTTGCTTTTACTGCGGTGCACAAATGTCATGCACTGCTTACATACAACAGACAGGCATTGGCTGGTTTCATACCACTGGAGCTACAACTCATTGTTCGCGACAACAACAGCAACAATGGCAAGGACAGCCAACATCGTCCTCGGGCAGTCCCCGGAGCACCAGGCACAAGCGAGCAGGCTGAAATCAGGAGCATGACACGGAGACGCAAAAGGGGCAGGCGAGGGGGACTCCATGCTAGGCTAAAAGCTTGCCCAGTCGCCATTACCCAGCCTCTTCCTAGCTAATGTACAGTCTCTGGAAAACAAACTGGACAAGCTAAGGGCTAGGATTACAGCACAACGGGAAATCAGAGAATGCTGTGCTCTAATTCTCACCGAGACTTGGCTTTCTGACAGAGTTCCAGACTCCGCGATTCAGCTAGAGACTCACTCTGTATATTGAGAAGACCGCACTGCTGCTTCGGGGAAGGTAAAAGGAGGTGGTGTGTGTGTATTCATTAATAACTCATGGTGTGGAGATGTATGTACTGTTTATAAGCACTGTTCGCCAGACGTAGAGTTTTTATTGCTGAAATGCCGGCCCTATTACCTAGCAAGAGAGCATAGTGCTGTGTTTCTGGCTGCTGTGTATGTTAGCCCAAGAGCTGATCCCTCTGCGGCTCTCAGCAAACTCTATGATGTCATCAATGCGCTAGAGACAGCGCACCCTGATGCTGTTCTTATCACTGCAGGCGACTTTAACCAGTGCAATTTACGGACTGTACTCCCCAAATATTACTAACATGAGAACATTCCCACTCAGGGCAAGAACACTCTGGATCATGTTTACAGTAACATAGGTGGTGCATACAGGGCCGCACCCCACCCCCACCTTGGACGCTCAGACCACATTTCTTTGTTCCTGTATCCAGCTTACAGACAAAGACTGAAACAAACAAACCCTGTCACCAAACAAATTAAACTCTGGACCCCAGAGACTGAAGGCACCCTGCAGGACTGGTTCACCAGACAGACTGGGATGTGTTTAAAGCTGCAGCCACCTCAGAGGACTTTTCTGTCAG